CTCCGGGTTCCTCTCAGGTCTGCAGGGCAGGGCTCATTGTTTGCTTCAGCCAGGCCACCTCAGATGCTGCCCTTCTCATTGTCTCACCCACTAGCATGTCCTTCCCTGCAGGTGTTGCTCCGTGTCTGCCCACTGTCCCTGCCTCTCCACTCTGCACTGGTGTCTTCTCCCTCTAGGCTGGTCTTGGAAGCTTCTGTCCACCCGCCCTAGTTCTGGCCTGTCCCCCACCTACTGTGCCCTCTTACTGTCCTGGTGCAGGGGGAGGGGTGGGGGAGAGGAGGAGCACAGCTTGGCAGGCAGAGTCAGCCTTGGAAATCTCTGCCTCTGTACCCCAAATCCCTCAGCAGAACCACCAACCCCAGGACCCTAATCCCTCACGTCTCCCAGAAAAGCCAGTGCCTCATCTTGCCAGTGCCGAGGGGCTTGGCAATATGATGTCACAAGACCTCTGTGCCAAGAAGAGTGGTTCACACCTGGCGTTTTCCTCTGGCTCTCCTTCCTGGAGGGGAAGCCAAGCCTTGGAGGCTGTGTTGTGGCTGGAATATAATAGACCGGCAGATCTGGGTGAGTGTGAATCTCCTCTCAGCCACACACTTGGGCAAGTTCCTCAGCCTCTCTGAGCCTCAGTTTCCAGTTCTATAAAGTAGTGCCGAGGACTAAGAAAGGGAAAGGTTCTAGTCAAGTATGTGGCACAGCTAATATCAGAATAAACAATGTCTTCCCATCTAACTTTCCCCAGCCACCAAGCCAGAACCTTGGAGAAGTTCCAACGATGGACAGAAGTCTGATACTCTGTTCTGCAGATGTGGTGTGAGGCTCCCACACTTCCTGCTGGCTGCTTGGGCCCCTGACCTAAGGAGGAAGGACAGATGGTTTTCCCCCCCCAGGCTGGTGATTTGGGCCTTGATGGCCCAGAGGGTTCTGCCCATTACACTAATGGGCTGCTCTCAACCAGTACCCAGAGCAGCTTAATCTGGGGAGAGACCACCCTCTGATTTGGTCCACAGGAACCTGGTGACCTCAACCTAACTCCTTCAAGGTGTTAAGGCATCCGTTCTCTCTTCGGTCAAGTGGGGCTCCCAGGCCCTTCCCTGCCTGGGATTATCTGTACCCAGGACTACCACAAGTGTAAGGAGAGGCTCTAGAGTGACAAGCATGGGAGAATCTTTGCCTTCAGGATGTCCAGCTTTGTGGAGACATGAGGAGGCATCACATGGCAAAGAGATTAGAGAGAGACTTCAGAGCTCCTTCAGGAGGAGGCGAGAACAGAGGAGTCATGGGGTGGGCCCACCCCACCCACAGCACTGAGGGACAGGGCTATGGCAGGGAGGTCCAGGAGACCCCTGGAGGAAGCTGGGGCCTCCGTGGCCAGCAAGGCCTCAGGAGCTCCTGAATCTGTGCTTTCACACGGTCCTGTAGAGTCTGAGGCCTGAGGGAGAGGAAGGGGTGGCTTTGAGGCCCCAACACTAGAGTTAGAACCAGACCAGGAGCCGGGGCCCAGAGGAGGTCGGGATGGACATAGAGAAGGCCTCCTGGAGATGGACAGCAAGTGCAAAACTGGAGGCAGAAAAACACTTGTTCTGTGGGACACAGAGGAACAGCTCTGCTCTTGCAGAGTTAGGGGCTGCCTGATAAAGGGAGCTTCTGCCCAATCTTGCCCTTGGCTACAGATGGCAGGACCTGGAACAGATGGCACCCTTGTTGATTAAGTGCACCCTGCATGCTGGACCCTGGGGGTATCTTTCAGTACCTGGGTGTCGGACCTTAAGAAAGTCCGAGAGCTGCAGGAATCATCAAGTTTGCCCACCTTCCCTGCTCCATTTTATATTTTGCAACTGGGAAACCCAAGCAGTCAGGCCTCAGCTCTGCAGCCAAAGGGGAGGAAGCTCTGTGTGTCCCGGCTTTTGCTCTGTCCCGTCGCCACAGGCCATGAAAACATCTGAGAGGCCGACTCACCTTTCACCTCCATGGCCTGAGCTCCTCCTTGACTTTTTCGGAGAGGAAACAGCTTGCTGCCCCACCCACCTTTTGCGACACTGGCAGGCAGGACTGGCCCTTGGGCCTGGCTGTGTGCCCTGGTCGTCTCTGGGTCTCAGTTTCTCCATCTGTGAGAGTGAGGTTGTATCAGCTCACCACTCTCTGTCCTTTCAACTCTAAGGCAGCATCCTCTTGAATTGGGGCTGGAGCAGCTGTGGGGGACAGGCCAGAGGACTCTGCAGGTGGGAGCAGCAGTGAGGAGAGGAGCTCTGGCCTCGCCTGTCTGACCTGGAGCTGCCTGTGTGACAGGGGCAAAGCAGGAACCCTCTTGAGGTGTCGAGCTGCCAGGGAGAAGGCAGCCTGCTCAGAGGACTCAGGCTGCCTAGGGATACCAGCAGAGCTGCCCGTGGGCAGGAGAGTGTGGCTGCACAACGAGGGGAAGGTTTTTCAGGGTGTAATTAGCGCACTTTCTGGCACCCACGAAACTTCCCCTTCCTCTCGACAATTAGCTGCCAAAACAGTCCTGATTCCTGTGGACTTACTTGCTTCTATCTCATCCAGAAAAGAAAAAGGAAAAAAAGAAAGAAAAAGGGGGGAAAAGAGGGTTGTTATTTGTGAAATTGCATTTCCCAGCCATGAGAGTGAGTCACGCATTTAGAGCTTCAAGTTTCGTGTTTGGATGAACTTTTCTCTGGGAGGCTGGGGCTATGCTGCCCTCCTTCAGGCTAGTGGGGTGGGGAGAGGCCTAGAGTCCATCTACTGAGAGACCTTGACAGTTGAAAAGTCTGGGGGCTCTGCCAGGTGGTTGTACCTGAACTGCCTGAGAGAGATTTAAAAATGCCTATTTGAACTTGGGTGGGGAAGGGGGAGTTAGTGTTTAATGGGGACAGAGCTTCAGTTTGGGGTGATGAAAAGTTTCTGGAGATGGACAGTGGGGATGGTTGCACAATAATGTGAATGTACGTAATGCCACTGAACTGTACACTTAAAAATGGTTAAACTGGTAGATTTTATGTAGGTATAGTTTATCATAGTAAAAAGTGTGGACTCCAAGTCCTCAGTCCCAGGTGGCTGTTTTGGTAGGCCTGAAGTGGGGTCCACAAAATTATTTGTTAAAAGTTTCCCAGGTCACTCAATGCAAGTTGGAACATCAGCAGTCTGTCCAATGGGGACAATGTCTTATTGTTCCCCATTGTGAGCATCAATTATTTTAATATGTGTAAAGTTTTCAGGGCCTAGTACATAGTAGGTGCTCAGCTATCATCTAATTTCGTTTCCATCAGAACCCGCCCATACCCCTTGAGGTTGTTCACTGTTGGCTCCCACACATTCAGGGATGGGGACCCTCTGCCTCACAGGATGGGCCACCCCATTTGAAAGAAACCCACCTGAGAGCTGGAGTTTCTTTCAGACTGAATGCAGGTTTGTGTGGTATCTTCCACTGGCCCTGGGCTTCATGGTGGCCCTGGTCAGTGGCAGAGCAGAGATGGTCATAGGAGCCTTTGAGTAATGTGCCCAGTTGCTGGAGGCCAGCTCTGTGTTGGGCCTGGGCTGCCCTGGATGTGCTGTCTGTGGATTTCCTTACAGATCCTAGGCTCCAATCTAAACCTGCACTGGAGGGAACAGAGGTCCAGAGAGGAAGGAGCCGGCCCAGGGTCATGTAGCAGGGTGTCCAGGGAGCCAAGGGCAGTGTTGGCACCCAGATGGTGAGGGCTGTGTCCTCTAGAGGGCATGTGCCAAATCCCTAGAGATGGAACAAGTAGGGAGGCTGAGGCAAACGTGGGGGGGTGGGCTCTATCCTGGTTATGGGGGTGCCTAGTCCCTTGGGGCCAGCTCTTCACTCACCTTCATCCCCTTCTCCCACTGAGGGGACACAGAAAGAACTATCACCACCCTGGGCCCCTGTCTGCCCTGTTTTTGTAAGGGAAACTGAGGCAGCTGTCTCTCAGGCTCTCCTCACCCACCAGCCTGGGGACTCTCAAGAACAAGGCCATGTCTCTCCATTTAGGCCCAAGGCTCCTCAAGGCCTGTAGTTCATTCCTGGAGTTCTTGGGCACCTGAGCTGGGGTCAGGCGATTACCAAGCCCATGGCCAGGTTTGCCATGGACCCTCCTGAGGAAGCTGCCTCTTTTCTGTCTTGGCCTCGCCTCAGGAAAGGGGGCCCATGGCCTCACCGCAGGCCCGCCTTCGCTAAATTCCAGTGTGCCTGGCTGCGGAGCCTGTGACTCCTATAAATAGAGGGTGTATACACCAGGAGGGGGCCTGGGCCGTGTCTGCTTTGAAGCCAGGCAAGACATCTGGTTCCTGTCAACTGGAGGTGGGAGAGGTGGGAGAGGTGGGAGAGGTGGGCAACTTCCTCCCTGGGCTCCCAGAGAGCTGGCTGGCTGGGCAAGGGCTCCCCGGACACAGTCTGCACAGGCCTCCTGCCGCAGGAGAGAAGGCAAAGCACTGACTTGCAGTCTGCTCTTCTGTGCCCTGGAAACTGTGCACCCTCTGACATTCCTCTTCCTTATAAGTTGAGGAAACTGAGTCAGCTCAGAGATAAGTGACTTGTCTACAGTCACTCTGCCAGTAAGCAAAAGAGCCTCAAACCTAGCAGGTTATTTTCTGCTATACTTGCTTATCTCTATGCAGTGTGTAAAGGATTAATGATAATAATAATTATCATCATCATCATCATCATCATCATCACCATGATCATCACCACTTACTGAGTGGTTCCTAAGTGTCAGGCAGGAGATAAGTGCTATGTGTTTGTGACTTCATGTTAGTCTTATAGAAACCCTAGGAGGTAGTCACCATTCAGAGTGGTTAACTGGTGTGCCATGGACACACAACCAGAGTTGGATTAGAACTCAGGCTCCAGGAGGCCAGAGCCCATGGGCAGCTGCCGGGCCATTATGAATTTAAGTGTGTGTGCCTGTGTGTGAGTGCATGCCCACCCATGGAAACTTCCCCGAGGTCATAGCTGTGAATGAGCATGTCCAGGCCTTCCAGAGCCCTCACAGCCTCTGTCCCCGCAGGCACTGAGCAGCAGCGTGTACAAGAGCGCCTCACCCTATGGCTCCCTCAACAACATTGCTGATGGCCTCAGCTCCCTCACCGAGCACTTCTCTGACCTGACCCTCACCTCCGAGACCCGAAAGCCCAGCAAGAGGCCCCCACCCAACTACCTATGCCACCTGTGCTTCAACAAAGGACACTACATCAAGGACTGCCCCCAGGTAAGGCAGCCTGGCCCAGGTGGGGCTTGTGGGCTCGCTATCAACTGTGTAACAGTTTCTATGGGTAGATGGGTAGGCAGGTGGATCACCTCCCCACCTGTCCCCTGTCCCCTTCCATGAGCAAGTGGCCCCATGGCTCTCTCTGGTCCCCACCTTTTTGTCCCTCTGGTATTTCTGAGATAAGTCTGGCTGGTATGAACAGGACAGAGGCTCAGCTTGGACCTGCACTGGTTAGGCAGAAATCTCGGTAGGGTACCCCAAAATGAGGTTTTGGGTCTTGAAGGCCCACCAGTCTCCCTGCCAGGCTGGGTCTTGTTACAGGGAAGTGGGATGGAGGCCAGCTGCCTCCTCACAGTTCTCTCCTGAGACCCCAACTCCTCAAACTCACAGGGAAAGAATGTGGGCTCTGGGCCAGGAATCCAGATGTGCACCCCCTCCCTCAAGCCCCACCTCTACCTCCTCTGCAGTAGGCTCCTCAACCTGCTGCCTGTGATGACAGTGGGCCTGCCATAAGTCTGTGCCCCCACAATGGGTCTGGGTGAAGGCACTGTGGGGCTTGGGGGTGGGGGGAAGGGGACTGGGAGGTCAAGGGTGTGGGGAGCAACCCCTGTCTCTCACCAAATGTTTCGCCATGACTGAGTGGGACTTCTGAGGCTGACCCCACTCATGAGATGACCCCTGGCTCTCTGACAGACATGGCTTTGGAATCCTGGGAAGAGAGGTTAACAGTTGTTTTAAATATGGTATGAGATTATCAGTGATTTTTCCCTACTATTTTTTCATATTTTCCTATGTTTTTATGATGTGGTACTACTTTATTTCATATATGTAATGGAAACGGAATCCTGTAAACTCAGAAAATCCATGTTGTCTCACCCTCCAGATGTTGGAAGCTGAGGGCCTGGCTGGGTGGGGCTGGGTCCCGCCAGGACCAGCGGGAAGCTGAGATGTGCTTCCCGCTCACCACTCCCATCACAAGTGGTCATGCTGTGCTTTTTGTCCTTGCTACTTAAAGTACAGCCAGGCATAGCTGAATACGTTGTTGCCTGGGAACTTGTCAGAAATACGGAATCTCAGGCCCACCCTAGAGCTGCATTTTAGTAAGCCCTGCCCACCCGGTGATTCATGCACTCCAGTGATCTGGCCTCCCCCTACCCCTGGGCAAGAGAGGCCCTCCCTGGTTCCTGAGCAGTGGGAGCTGACCCACTGGTGGCTGTTCTCCAGATCCACACTCCAGTGGGCCCTGTCTGTCCCTCAATATGTAGTGAGCAGGGGCCCTGAGCACAAGGGGATCTCAGCAGAAGGTGAGGCCCTACCCCCAGAGGGTGTCTGAATAGGAGAAAGGGCAAATGAGCAACTAAGGATCTGGATGGTCTTCAAAGTCATGTCCATAGCCACCTAGTCAGCACCTCCCAGTGCCCTCCCCAGCTGAGCCCCCAAGCAGAGGGACTCTGCTCTCAGCCATTCACAATGATACCTCGAAAACCTCCCTCTATCCTCTCCTTCCCACAGTCTGTGAGGTTGGCAGAGCAGGACCTAGCCCCACTGAAGGACACAGGCACTGTGATAAGTGTCCTGAAGCATTATTTCATTCATCACACAACGGCTGTGTGTGTAAAGTGCTCTTATTAGCCCATGTTACATGATGCTTTGTGTGAGTCAAGAACTACACAGGATCATTGAGCTGGTCAGTGGAGGAGCTGGGATATTACGACCCCCCCGCAATAGGCAAGTGATACTCAGACACCATCAGGGGCTTTCAGGGCTCTGAGGAGGTATGCTTACTCTGGGCTCTCAGCCTGGGAAGGCTTCCAGGGGAAGGAGGGTTTGAATGGGGCTGGTGGATTGATGGAAGAAGGGCGGCTGTGCCTCCCACAGTGTGACCACTGTCCAAAGGCAACAGATGGTGAGCCAGAGGTGGCAGACCGGTGAAGGAGCATGTGAGTGTGCATGCGCACACTGCCCTCTCTCCAGACAGAGCCAGAGCTCTTCTAAATGTGGGCACAGAGGGTCCCTTGCCCTCAGTGCCTCTCACTTTCCAGCGCAGGGCTAACCCTGTTTCTTCCTTCATGTGGGATATATGGCGTGTTCACTTACCTCGTCCAGGGCTCTTAAGTCTTTGGAGAAACAGGAGTCATAGCCCCACTTTACAGTTGAAGAAACAGAGTCTCGGGGAGGCGGAGTGCTGAAGAGAGGGCAGATGAACATGAGCATCCTGGTCTTGGGGCCCCTGCCCTCTTGGTCCCCTGGAGCACCCATGCCACTCCAAGTGAGGCACCCGAGGCCTGCAGAGCCTCAGTTTCTCCCTTGAATGGGTAGAAGTCCTCTTCTGGCCCTATCACAAACCTGATTCTGTCTGGGACTCCTGCAGGCCCAGGTATCTCCCTCCAGCCCTCACAAGAGGTGGGAGGGCAAGTGTCCGAAATACCAGTTTCATAATCGATAAAATGAGGCTAATGAGGACACTGACTCATAGGATTGTGAAGGTCCATTGAAAAAATGCATGGAAAGTGCTTAGCACAATGCCTGGCACACAGTGGGCACTCAGTAAATGTTGGCTAGCATTATTTTTTTCTCCCTTGGGTTAGAATGTGGAGTGCGCCCTCCTGGCAAGGTACTAGGTATTTTGGCAGGCAGGAATTTAATTGGATGCCCCCCACCCCTCACCTGACCACAGGCTCAGGGGCAGTGCTGGGCTAGATTCACCTCTGTACCTCTCACTGTCTGAACCCCTGTGCCAGCTCAAGGAACCACACACAGCCAGTGCTCAGTGCAAGCCTTTCTGGATGAATGGATGCATGGACAAGGCTTTTTTTAAGGCATGGAAAACTTTGCCTTGAATAAAATATTACAAAAAGCTCAGAATATATAATATTTAAAAGTGGAGTGCTTATTTTGATAATAGCTTTAATGAGATCTAATTTACACACCATATAATTTACTATTGAAAGTGTACAATTCAATGATTTTTAGTATATTCACAGAGTTGTGTAACCATCACTTCGATAGTTATAGAACACTTTTATCATCTCAAAAAGAAACCTCACATTCCTTAGCTGTCACCGCCTATTCCTCAGCCCCTAGGTAGCCACTAATTTATTTTCCGTATCTATAAATTTGCCTATTCTAGACATTTCATATCAATGGAATCATATAATACATGGTCTTTTGTGCCCAGATTATTTTGCTTAACATATTGTTTTCATGCTTTATTCATGTAATATCACTTATCAGTTCCACAATTTTGGAAGTGTTCCATTCTGTTCTATTTTCAGGAAGATTTTGTGAAGTATTAATATTAAATCTTTTTTAAATGTTTGGTAAAATTCATCTGCAAAACCATCTGAGTTTGGGCTTTCTTTTGTGGGTAGATTTTTTAAATTACTAGTTCAATCTCTTTACTTGTTATAGGTCTATTCAGATTTTCTATTTCTTCTTGTGTCAGTTTCTGTAATTTGTGTCTTTCTAGGAATTTGTCCCTTTCATCCGTTATCTAATTTATTGGCATATAGTTCTTTATAATATTCTATTGTAATTGTATTTGTCTCTGTAAGCTTGGTCTAATGTTCCCCTCTTTCATTTCTGATTCTTGTAATTTGACTCTTTTCTCTTTTTTTCTCCTTAGTCTAGCAAAAGTTTTGTCAATTTTGTTTGGTTTAATTTCCTGTACTAATTTTTCTATTTTCTATTTTATTACTTAACATTCTAATCTATTAAGAAATTGTGGCAAAATTCATATAACATACAATGTACCATCTTAACTGTTTTTAAGTATACAGTTCAGTGACATTAAGTACATTCATATTGTCGTGCCATCGTCACTACCCACAGAATTTTTTTATCTTGCAAAATGGAAGCTCTGTTCCCATTAAGCAGTAACTCCCTCTTCTTTACTCCCCTAGACCCTGGCAACCACTATTTTACTTTCTTTCTCTATGAATTTCACTACTCTAGGGACCTCTTATAAGTGGAATCACACACTATCTGTCCTTTTGTAACTGGCTTATTTCACTTAAAATGTCCTCAAGGTTCATTCATACCATAGCATCTGACAGGAGTTCCTTTTTTAAGGCTGAATAATATTCGTCTGTGTGCATGTGTGCGATCATCACATTTTGTTTATACATTTATTCACCAACAGGCAACTACTGCTTCCACTTTTTGGATATTGTGAATAATGCTTCAATAAACATGGGTGTACAAATATTCCTCTGAGTCTTTGCTTTCAATTCTTCACTCTAATCTTTATTATTTCCTTCATTCAGCTTGCTTTGAGTTTAGTTTTCTTTTTCTAGTTTCTTTATTTATGTACAGCACATTATCAGTGAGTGTTGCTTCATTACAACATTGATGATGTACTATTGGAAGTTAACTGCTATTTATATCAATTATCCTATGGTAAAATTGGTTTCATTATTCATTGTTTCACTTAAAGTCATAGAACCCATCAACGATGTTAAGTGAGAACTTACTGTAGATGTTTATAACTATACATTTTCCTCTGAGCTGCACCCTGTAAGGTTTGGTATGTTGTATCTTCTTTTTTACTTATCACATGGTATTTTCTGATATCCCTTTTTCTTCTCTGACCCACTAGTTATGTAGAAGTATGTTTTCAGCATCCACATATGTATGAGTAACCCAGATACCTTTTAAAAATGATTTCTAATTTTATTCTATTGGGGTCACAGAACATACTTTATATTATTTCAACACTTCTAACTTCATTGTTTTATAGCCTAGCATGTGGGCTATCCTAGAGAATGGTTCACAAGCACTTATGAATAATCTGCTGATGTTGGGTGGAGTGTTCTAATAGATGTCTGTTAGATCTATTTTGTTTAAAATGTTGTTTGGGTCTTCTGAATCCTTGTTGATGTTCTGCCTAGTTCTTCTGTTCATTATAGTAAGTAGGGGTATTGAAATCTCAATTATCGTTTTTTAAAAATTTTTCTCTATTCATTTTAGACAGAGGGGAAGGGAGGGAGAGAGAGAGGGAG